TTTAATAGTTATGAAGATCTGTAAATTTACTGCAAAAAAAAACAACAAAAAAACAAAAACAACCAACCTAAAAGCATGTCAGCGACACGTTTTAATCCTGACGCAGGACGGCTAAAATATCATATCAAATCAGTCAAAAAGTGCTCCTGCCGCAGGAGATCCAAGCGGCCACAGCTGATGATCTGGGCGATGTGGGGGGGGACTCAGCTGAGGACGAATCTGCACGCAAAGCAGCCATAAACACCCCCAAATACACACAGACACACACAGGATCTGGTGGCAGACAACAGTCACCCTGTCATCTTCGATTGCAGGTCGCACATGTTGGGCCAGCAACACCTCGCACAAAGCAGAGAGGGCCTCAGCCCCCCTAGCGTCCCCCTGCCGCCATGTGGAGACTGCCAGAGAGTTATTTCAGCTCAAAAGAGCAAACACAGAAATCAGTCTGTCAAAAAGGCTCGCAGTGATGCCAAACGTCATTGTCTGCAGTCTATAATACACAAATGTGATTGGGGTCACATCTAGTCAGAGCGGGTGTAATAAAAAACAGCAGAGCCAAAATGATGCGGAGCAACTTGCAGGTTTACGATGAACTGCACTTCTAACACGAGGCCATCTGAGAACAAACCTGCATCTTAATATATGAACTGAGGAACAGGAACAGGAAGCCTGTTTATCTTCTCACTCATGCGGATTATCTATTAAATCTATTAAACGTCTCTTTATTTTGGTTCCTATCAGATCGGGGGGGGAGTTTGAGGGAACTTTTTGAGCTTCAGGCTACTTTCCGAAGCCCGTAGGCTCACATGTGTTCGGCAGATGGCACGGAGTAAATGGCGCGGATGTTATTCAGCTGTATACGTCTCTCACAGACCCTCCAAGAATGTCCGCACGAGGCCAAGCATTATGGGATCTGAGGGCTGCGCTGTCTGCTGCCGGTAAGGGATTCAGTCTGTGGAGGTTTCATTTGGATAAAATGCAGACAATGTTTGTCATTAAGGTTAAGTCTCCAATAAAGACTTAACCTCAAGTCTCTGTTGATTCAATCTTTGACTGAATCAAAGATCGGTAAATCTGTGATTCAGTCTGCTAGTTATTTGAAGATTTCCTTTAAGTGTCTTCCAAGCCTTAGGTCTGACTTACCTTCCTTCTTTTAGCCCTTTTTTTTTTATTAACTTACTTCGTCTCTCCGTTATCTTCCTTATTTCGACCCTAAAATCAATCATTTTTTTTCATACTCCCTCCTTTACCTGTTTGTTCTTCCTTCCTTTGTCAGTTTTCATTGGTAATTGCAGTTTTGGAGGACCTCATGCGTGGGCAGAGAGCTTCACAGACCGAAAAAAAAAAAAAAATAGAAAAATCTGCCTTAAATTGTCACAGTTAACACAGCTGAACAAATCCAGGATTTTTTTTGTGCGACAAATTTCATAGGTATAAAATGAAGCAACACACAAGGAACAATGGGTGTGAGTACATATTTCTTAGAATACATCCTACAGTATGTCATCCTATATTGCATCACGTCTTGTGTCATATCTCTGATAGAGCAAAAAAAAAAACGCACAAAAAGTTTTAGGTCAATTTCAGTGCAGCTCCTCCTAATTGCCTGTTTCATTATTTCTAGGGAACTTAAGTTTGACCTATGAGTCAATCGGGCAGCCAAGGAAATAGACATCATCCCCCTCAATTCTACGACAACTTTGAAAAAAAGACGGCGATTATCCAGATGACACACAAGAGCTATTAGTTGAAAACTTCACACACACTACATGATCCACTGAAGGCTGGAGCATTTCTCAGGTGGATTTTTTTAAAAATATATCTCAGCCATGATTCGTCTGTTTCTTGATTTTTACTTTTCTGTCTACCACTTGTTTCCTTTGTTGGGTAAAATTACTGGAGGAGAAATTACTAAAGAAAATCTGAGTAAGTAAATGACCCTTTAAAACTATTTATCAATAACGTGTTAAAATATTACAATTCAGGCTTCCTTGCTCAGAAAGGACAGCACATCTAATGTGTCTTTAATAAAAAGATAATCATTGTATATTGTCTAAATTAAAGCAAAAAAAAAAAACAGGAACACAGAGAAACTGAATATAATTAATATGATTCATGAAGAAACAATGATTCGGATTCTACTTTCTGAAACAGACAAATGACTAATGTGGTTTTTTGGTTTTTTTTTTATGTGTTTGCAAACTCATTCATATGTGCATATTTTTTACAGAGAGAGATGAACAGAGGATTTCCTTTGGCAAGAGATCTCTATCAGTTTCTCCCATCAACGTGACGTAAATCTCCACGGAAGCGCAGATAAGCTGCAGGAACACCCCCGCCCTCCGGACACGTCCAGGTTGACTCCGACTGAGCTGTGTGCGCAGCTCCCACAGGCTCCAGGAAAGGTGTTTGATCAGATGTTAGTGAAGCGATCCCCTGGTCTATCTCATCAAATTTACAGCATCTACCTGCAGAGATCCATTTGCAAAGCGAGCGTGGCCGAGCGAGTGGGTGACGAGGGTCGCACGTGTCCCGGAAAGCGCGTGGGAATCTGATAAATTGTGGATTTTAAAGTGTCACATAAACAAAACGCTTCATGATGCGTAGGCCACGAATATCAAAAATAGGAAATGAAAGGCTTGCAATTTGTCACTGTGTGCAGTGATCTACATATCTATACATCTAAATGTAAGGTTTGTTTGAAATAAATAAAGTATTATATGTTATTTTTCTTAAGTGCTCCAAAAAATATTATATTATATTACACAACACTTCTTCATAACATAAAAATTTTTTTTAGATGTACTTGCAAGTTGCTTAAGTTATTAAAACCATAATCTATTTTATTGGGAGTTTATGTGGCAGACCAGCACAAAGTACACAGATTGTTTCCACATCTGTGTCCAAATAAAAATCTTGGAAGTGTGTGATATATTTGTATGAAGTCAGAATAGAAAAACAATCCTTGTCTACCAGCCTGAGAAATCTAATTGAAATATTTTAATTTATTTTTTGATTATTCTTTGCAAAATAACCCAAGTTCAGTCAGACTTAACAGAGATGGTCAGTAAATAAATAAAAAAGTACATTTACCTCTGGACTTTGGACTACTTTAACACATAGATAGATGCTCAATAGGAATTGATCTAAAACATTTAATCGGAGCTCTAAATGCAAGTCCAGTTAAGTCCCAGGTGTTTTGCAGCACTTAACAGCCATTTCTTCCAGGAGTGCTCTGTATCTGGCTTCATCCATCTTCACATCCAACCAGCTTCCCTTCCCCCACAGAAGCAATACAACACAGCATGATGCTGCCATCACCACATGAAATATTGGGAATCACGCCCACACAGACCACAGTATATGTTGGTTTTTTTTTTCTTCTTAGATTTCTTTGGCACTAGTAGACTTTATCACTCAGTAATCTGAAAGAAGGGGGAATTCGTGCGGCAACTGATCCAAGTCTGGGAACTGAACCAGGAAAGCTCTACTGACGACTACAGTGAGTTCCCCGAGTGTAGCATGGACAGAAATTCTCAACACTTTTCAAATGTTTACTTTATTATTTAAAGTGTCAAATACCCCCGGTCCTTTGTTCTTTCCGCACCGCTTTGTGTTCATCTGCACCCATTAAAACAAATTTGTGACGTGTGAGAAAATGTAGAAAAGCTCAAAGCTCAATCCTTATTTTTTTTTTCCTTTTTTTTTGCAACATACCGTATTTCCAATATCGCTGCAGCGCTCAACGGTGGACCCGGCAAAACGAGCGACGCCTTGAGGTCTGTTCGTATGGCAGGATTTCAAGGGCTGCTGACGTTGACCCCTTATTGTTAGATGCTCCCTTTGTGGTTGAACTCGCCACTGTACTGAGCGAAGGAAAAGAAAGGCCTTCTCTAACAGTCGGTCATGCCCCAGTGCTCCTGGCAACAACAGGTCCCAAGGACACAGACCTGCCTGCCCTATATTGGCTCGGCTCTCCATTAGCGTTGGCGACACCAGCCCCCTGTCAGCTGTCCCATTCGGGGCCGGGCCGGCCCTTTATTAAAGCTTTGATGGCCGCTGAACAAAGGGGCGTCCTATGTTTAGATGATAGAATGTAAGCAACTGGTTTTCTGCTTGGGCAACGCAAGACAAAGAGCCTCCTTCTGAATACAGCGGAGTACGCAAGCGAGAATGAGTGAGAAAACTGGAGAGGGAGGAAGGAGGAGAAAAAAAAAAGGAGGAATTTGCCCTAAACTTGGGAAGAAATAACAGATTTCTGCGTGAGGGTTTCTTTGATGGCATGGAAAAACTTTGCAGGTGGCCATGACGCTTTGAGAGTAACGGTTAAAGTCCCAGAACCCAAAGAGTAAACATTATTATGGTGTGTTAAGATGGAAAATCAAAACTGAAGTGTGAAATGTCTGCAGTACAAATTTACTATGCAATCAGCTACATATAAACCAAACAAAAAGTAAACATTTTGTACTGTTTTATATTGACTAATGGCTTATATTTATAAACTACAATGACCTTTTGTAAATGAATTACAAAGCGTCTTTAGCTAGATGTGTAGCAATTCCAAATTAATATTTTATATTAAAATGTTGCTTCTTTTTGCTGTCACACATTTTTTTTTTTACATTAAAGATAATAAAAGTGATAAAAAACGAATGTCATATCTCTGGAATACAATGAGGAAAACAGTCCGATAACTGCTGCATTTGTCCTTTTTCTTTCTTTTCACCCCAAAACTGTTAAAACCACAAAAAAAGAAACAATAAGAGCCTGAGATTATATATCCTCAGTTATTTACAAAAACTGTTATTAAAAAAAAAAAAAAAAAAAAAACTGCATTTGCTAGATAAACTCTCTTTCTCTGTTCATACGAACTGAATGGAGAAAAGCGTTTCTTTCTTTTTTAATTTATTTTTTCTATCCACTCCCAGTAATTCATGTGGTTGCATTAAACACGCAAGGGGCCCCAACTGTCAGCTCGTATGTTTGTTTTGCTCACATACCTGGTCATGGCTGGCTTGTAGGGTGCTCCCGGTGCCGTGGAAAGTCATTTGCACTGGGGACAGGGTCAGATAGGTCACAAAATCCTTCCCACTCTGCGCGTCGCTGTACTGCACCTGAAAAAAAAACAGTAACAAACGAATTCAGCAGCGAGTAGAGAAATAAAAACACGATAATTCCCTCAGAAAGGAGGCGCTTTGAGGTTGCATTTCGTATCATAGACCAACACGGTATAGAACATGAATGGGAAAATGGAAATGCTTTTAAAGATGGTTTGCAAATATTGGTGAAAATCTTCACCAAATTGTGTTTCTATTACAAAGCCTGTGATTTATATTACTAAGTCAATTAACTGAATGTCAAATTATAAAGAGCTAAATAATTTTCATTTTGATTCTACATTTTTTTAAGGATAATTTCGTTTCCACATTTGAGAAATCATAATCCATTGTATACATGGTTTCCATTGTGTTTTTTTATTTATTTATTTATTTCCTTTTTATTTTTTATTTTAGTTGGGGTTTATTTTGAATCTTTAAAACATCTTTCAATCGTAGAGTTAAGTATTCTTTGCAAAATTAAATTGTATTGGTCTCTGAGAGGGTGAACTCACATTATTATGCCATTAACAGTACATTACTTGAAAAATGGTCTCAAAATAACAATATCATTGTTTATTGCAATAATCACTGGGACCAATTCATGGTCCAACAAAACTTGCTACCATGACAGGCCTATGTATTACTCCAATGCTATTACATCAAATATCAAATGCACCACAAACACTTTTTTCTGATTTTAGCTGTCGGCTTTCTTTCGCTTCACAACAGAGCACAACTTCATGATGGGATGGCTAAAAAAGAAAATGTTTCGAATTGAATAAGCACTGAAATTTGTCATTGTAAAAGGCTCTGCAATTCTCAACAGTTTTACGCTCAATTACCCAACAACACACAGGAACGGCAACAGATGAAGAACAAGTGAAAGTGCATCTGTCTGTGATTGAGAGGGGGCATCCGAGGTAGAGATCGCGTCGTGAGCGACCCCTCTGAATCGAGAGGTCAACTCCGCAAGCATTCCTAAATGCTGTGCAATCAGGACTGTTATGACATGCTGCTCCTCTGGGACAGGCTGCTCCTGAGATGGAAGAGCTTTGAGTCAACAGTGGCTGCTTAGCCTGCCCTACTTCTCACTGGCTCCGTCCCAGGGTTCGCCTGTGGACTTGCATGAGTTTATATGTGTTTGCCTGGCCTACTTCTGCCCAGGACAGCTGCAGGCATCTTAATAAATAGAACACTATGAGAATTGAAAGAACTAATACCAAGAGACGGAGGCGCTGAAGGACAGGGGGGTTTTCTGTTAAAAGTTTGTGTTACGTTTGTGTTAATGTACAGACTTGGACTGATTTTGTTAAAAGTTAAATGACAGAGAAACACAAAGTAGTCAATTAATTAGTGGAAGGAAAAGGTTTTCAAAAGGATGGTGCGCAACATCATCAACAACTCTGGGGGTTATCCGCTACCAGATTTGACATCCAGCGACTCGAATTGTTTTGCACGGTCTTCTTTGCCAAACAGCGGAGATTGGATGCAGAGCATATGTAATTATCAAACAAGAGCTCTTAATTAAATTTAGGCCTGAACTTTGACTGGGCCATTTTAACACATGCATATGCACTAATCTATGCCATTCCTGTATTGGTTTAGTCCCTCGTCTTCTAGCGGATTTTCTTCCAGGATTGCCCTGGAAAAACTGTATAAGATCACAAGAATGAAGTCATAATATTAAGAGGATAAATAATAAATTTTATGAGGACTCCAACACACACACACACACACACACAAAAGGAGGAATTTTGAGAAAGTTATACTTTCACATCAGCATCAAATTATTACCAGTAGCAGGACTTTAAAAAGATTATTTGAAACAGATCTACATGAAATAAGCTGGCTATGTCGGATCCTGATAACTAAGTTTGTTTATAACTAAAATTACTGGGGGGTTTTTTTGTAATCTTGTGACCATACTCTCAAAGTTAAAAAAGAAAAAAAAATTCATAGTCTCACCAATATATTCATTATTTCTACTTATTATGTGGTCATTTGTGTTGATCTGTTACTTAAAGATCCCAATAAAACACAATGAAAGTTTGTGGTCATAATGTGATGAAATGTGAAAAAGAGGGGTTGCTCTCGCAAGGCTCTGTACTCTGGACTTTCTACGGTGCACAGGAAACTTCGACCTCACTGGGAAAATATGATTTTGCACAAAACGATGACGCAAAATCATATTTCACATACTTTAAAAGGATCCAATGAAACAACAAGCTTGTGGAAAAACGGATATCGGCTTTTGAATTCAAGCGTAATGAACGTCCTGGCTCCCAATCTGCATATTTATGTTGGCAGAAGCGTTTTTCAAGTCTTTTAATCACAGAAAGTCATAAAACAAGCCTCTGCATGCAGACGTGTGCTTATTTTTCTTTGAGTGCCCTAAATCTCCTCACCGCATCAAAGTTTTATCTTATCAAGGCCATTATTTGATGGCTGTACAGGCTGAGCTTGTGTGCACGCACAAGTGCGCACACACAGCGGCTGTATATGATCTGTGACTGAAAGCTTCCAGAGTGGGGTGTGTGCGTGCGCGCGTCTTTTCTCTCCGGATGAGTTACGATCAGGCAGCCAGACACATGGAAGTCTGGCTGCCTGATCGTAATTCACACTCAAGCACGGAGCGATATGAACATGTTTCCATGAAAACACGAACAACCGTGCGATGCTACATGCGGCGCATACACAGAGCACATGCTGGCATGCATGCGTGTGCGTGCGTGCACACCTGCTGGTGAGCCGGGCTCCCAGTGATAAACTGTGGAACGCTATCTGCTATGAGTATGACTGATGAATGTAGTAAAGTCAGCCATGGAAAAGAAAAAAAAAAAAATGCCTTCCCAGACGGGTAATCTCCAATAAATTCTCCAGACTTTAACATAAAACGAGAAAAGGGGCAAAGATGTATGAGGGAGAAAAAGAAAAAGATGACAATACCAAAATTTGGTAAAAGATTTATGCTGGAAAGTTTGGAGATGCTGTACATGAATGAGTTAGGTGAGAAAGCATGGAGTGTTTGTTTATATGTGACTGCCTCAAATTCTTCTTTGGATAGTAGGCTGAGATACGTGACGTAATCATGATGAACCGTGGGCACTTTGCTCCAATCATCTGCTGCAAACTGTCAAAACTTCAGCTGAAATAAGTTGACCTTCTCTAAAACATTATTTCTTTTAAGTTAAATGGTGCTCATTCACAAAAAAAAAAAAAAAAAAAAAAAAACCCTTTTATAAAAAAAAAAAAAAAAAAATTATATTTTTTGGA